TGCATAATTTGATATAAATGGCTGAAAAATGAAAATAACGGTCAGTTCCATTTTAATTTTGTGTTCAATTGGTTCTCATATTGAGAAAGTATTTCTGGTTTGTGTTTTCAATCTGGTATATATAATTATACAATATATAATATATATTATTATATATGTAATATAGTGGTTACAGCCATTTCCATACTGAATTTTTTCAAATTTTCATAAAAGAAATTAAAACTAAGAAAAATTCAAATTAAATAAAAAAATAGTGAATTTGAAAAATTTTTTAAAAATTACAATACTTTTTTCGAATGAAAAAAACAAAATAATTCTAATTAAGTATTTAATTTTAATTTGAATATGATTTATTAATATTTAAATTTAATATCATTTAATAATTATTTAAATATTATGTTGAATATTATTAAATCATTTTAATGCGAAATATTCAACAAAAATGTTGAATATTTGATAATTATTCAAAATTAAGCAACATTTATTGATATTTAATGAATGAAATAATTAGAGAAAAAATTTTGAAATTTAATAAAAACGAATTATAGATAAAAATTTTCATCAATGTTGCGACAGGAAAACTGAGAATCGATAATGTCTGCATTAAAGAGGCACAAATGAGACGGCGGTGGCGGTATTAGATGAGGCGAATGAAGAGGAAAATGAGGAGGAGGAGGAAAAGGAGGAGGATGAGGAGGAAGAGGAGGAGGAAGAGGAGGAGGAAGAGGAGGAGGAGGAAGGAATGGTCGAAAATATTTTTCATCTTTTTTCAACTTAAAATAAATCGGTAGAAAACCTGAAAATGGTCTAAAATAAAAGATCGGTAGANGAGGAGGAAGAGGAGGAGGAAGAGGAGGAGGAAGAGGAGGAGGAGGAAGGAATGGTCGAAAATATTTTTCATCTTTTTTCAACTTAAAATAAATCGGTAGAAAACCTGAAAATGGTCTAAAATAAAAGATCGGTAGAAAACCTGAAAATGGTCTAAAATAAAAGATCGGTAGAAAACCTGAAAATAGTCTAAAATATTTGTTATGCATTGAAGAAGATACAATATGAAACAAGCTGATATCATTTAAAGATGATGTCATTTATTTTTAATTGAATTTAAAAAATATTGTCCTTCATAATTCATTCTTCTTCCTCTTCCATTTCTGCCTATCATTTTCACCTTCCTTCTCTTCCTATCATCTATCTTATATTTGTTCATATTTCAAATTTTATTAAATAATAAGAAAAACTAATCTGAAAAGATTATCTCATAAAGATTGAAATAAATGAGCATAATTAGAGATTAATAATAAAAATATTAGAACATGTAAACATTTGATGATTGATATTGATATTGATAACGAATAAAGAAAAAGAGAAAGAGGAGAGAGGGAGAGAAAAAAACAATTAAAAATATCGGAAGATATGAGTGGTTGGATTATGAGCATTAATAGCAATTCTCTAGTATGTGTAATAATAGTTGCTATAAATATTACTTTGAATTAATTGAATCAGCTAAATTAATTGTACAACTTAAATTGATCATATCACTTGTATTAATTAATGATAATATGTATATTATTTGAATTCATTTCAATTCATTTCATGAATTATATTTCATAATAATTCATTTATTATTTAACAGTTTTATCATTAACACATTAATTTGTATTGTTTTAGATGAACGTATTTTTAGAGAAATTATTGAGCATTTTAAATATGCTAAATTATTTTGCTAAATTTTAATACGTCGAAAGTGATCCTTTCGTAATTAAAAAAAAGTGTTAATTTCATATGAATGAAAAAATTTTACTGATTGTTGGTTTGAAATTAAAACAATGCAGCAATAATTAAAGCAGATATTTTATGCAAAAATTAATTAATTAAAAAGGAGAGAAAGAGGGAGAGAGGGAAATATATCAATATAATAAAATTTACAATTCATTTTTTTAATTTATCAATTTTGATTTAGTAAATTTAATTAATTAATTAATACGTTGCAACTAATAATTGCTATTCATTTTATTATTTCAAAACAATTATCTCATTTTCTCAAGCAACAAAAAAATTCAATCACAAAAAATATAAAGAAAAAAAGTGATACTGTTAATTATCGTAATTTTAAGACATATACGTTTATTCTACGCGTAATATTTAATTGAAAATTTAATATTTCGACTAATTTCAGCAAAATTATCTCAAATAATATAATATAACTTTTTTAATGAATAAAAAAGTAATGAATTTATTTTGTATAACTAAATGGAAAAATTATATTATAAATTTTTTAAAATGAAAAAATCCCATAAAAGATTGGAAAGATACCGTTCATTACCGTGATTTTAAACGTATACGGTAATCCTATGAGTAATATTTGATTGAAAATTTAATATTTTGACTAATTTTAACAAAATTATCTCAAATAAAATAATTTTTTAAAATGAAAAAAACCCCGTAAAAGATTGAGAAGATACCGTTCATTACCATAATTTTAAAATGTATACGGTAATCCTACGAGTAATATTTAATTGAAAATGTAATATTTTGACTAATTTCAACAAAATTTTCCCAAATAAAATAACTTTTTAGTGAATAAGAAAAGTAATGGATTTTATTTTGTATAACTAAATATTTGAGAAATTATATTACAAATTTTTATAAAATGAAAAAAAAAGGAATGATATAACAAAAAACTAATTTCAAATAGCTTTAGTTTATTCAATTTTTCTTCATCCATCACTATTTTCTCCCTTTTTCATCCCTCCTTTCTCCTATTTTTTCATCATATTTCTTTTTAGTTAAAATCAACAAAAATGCATAAACTATTGGAAAATTGAAGTGATCGAAAATGAATGTGTGAAAAATGAATGATTTGTTAAAGAAGGAGAAAGAAATTGAATAAACAATTCACATGGGATTAGGAACAAGTCTTGTTAGAATTATTTGTTGTTAGAAATTTTAAATTGTATAATTTCATTTGTCTTATTTTTATGAATCAATAAATTGATGAAATAATTTGAAGTGTAAGTTATATATAATTGGCAATTAAAATTTTTTAATTATATAATTGGAAATTATATAAATTTGATTTTGTTTATTTCATAAATTAATAGATAATGAAATGATTTTAAATGTAATTAATTTTGGCTTTAATTTGTTTTATTTTAGCAATGAACAAATGATTTTATATTACATTAATGAAAATTTATTTCATAGATTTTATATTAATGAAATATCATTAATTTGAAATGAATATTTCAATCAGGCGCATTATTGGTCAAGCAGAGCAGAAGTGAATAAACGGATTTCATCTTCCTATAATTTGCTGTACTGCGATGAAATAATAATTCAAATATTGATTTACTTTTTTGAAAATTTTATGAAGTAAGTTGGTTGCACAAACGAGTAAGTTGGTTACACAAAATGAGTTAAAGAAATTGATTCGAAATTCTTTTTTTCAAATCATACGAGTAAGTTAGTTACACAAAATGACTTCAAGGGATTGATTCATACCGGTAAGTTGGTTACACAAAATGAGTTAAAAGGATTGATTCATACGGGTAAGTTGGTTACACAAAATAAGTTAAAGGAATTGATTCATACGAGTAAGTTGGTTGCACAAAATGAGTTAAAGGGATTGATTCATACAAGTAAGTTGGTAACATAAAACGAGTTAAAGGGATTGGTTCAAAATTTCGAAATTTCAATACTTGAAATTTTGAAAGTACTTTAAACTAGAAGAAGGGATCGTTTTTAAAATTGTCTGAATATTAAAAAGAAGCATGTCTGCAAATAGAAAATAGCATCAATTCCATTATTCGCTTAATAAATGTTATGCCTATGTATCATCATCATATGTATCCATATTTCTTCATATGAATGTAAGTGTGTGTAATTTCTTGTCTATTCTTAGTCTGATATATTTGAAAATGATTTAATCAATTAAGAATTGAAAAAGGAAATGGAATTCGTTGTTTATTTGAAACATTTTTTTTTTAAATTCAATTTTCAAATGAATCAACATCATTTGAAAGAATTTATAATCAGAATTGAAATGTTGTTTACATTTACCTTCGTTCAAATTATGACAGCTGTATAAATCAAAACTTTTCTGTTATCATTTTCTTTTATTCAGCAAAATTTTGTACAACTCAAAAAATCGTTTTCATAGCTAAAACAAGCAGAAAGGACACAATCATATAAATCATATCTTTTGTTTATTAAACTTTATTAAACAATGTTTATTGATATTACAGTATTTTTATAGGAATGATTGCCATAATAATCAGAGCTAATTGATATTACAGTATGTTTATACATCTTGTATTTTATTTGAACTAATCGATATTGCAGACATTTTATAGATGTTATAATAACTTTACTAAATCATGGATAACCAATATTATAGTCATTAATAGATATAGTATTTTATTAACAAATTGCAAATCGATAGTATAGTTCATTCAGTTACAGTAATTCATCAGAGCTACAGTACCATTAAGGAATTTAGGATACGAAATATAATAAATGAAATTGCTTATTGATTCGTTGCTATGATAAGATTAATTGATGAAATGATGCCTCTAACAAATTCAGCACTTTCTATTTATTTGCTTCTATTTTATCATAAAAAAGTCCATCTAATCATGCACTAAGGCACTGCTTCAACCAATAAGTGTAAGATAGACATTGTGGGCCTAACAAAAAGCCTAACAAAAAGCAATTTTGTCTGTCAATTGAAAAATGCATAAACGAGAGTTGAAGTATCTTCAACAAGCTGTCAATAACCATATGTGATAATAACTTATTGATTTGAAGAAATTATTGAATTAATTCTTAACAATTAATCGTTACAAAAAATCCTCCTAATTTCATTTAAATACGATTCATTATTGAAACAATTATCATTTATTTCTTTCTATGCCTTTTGCAGGTATGCTAATAATTTTTAAAAAAGCAAGAATTTTTATAATTATTAACTTATTAAAGGTGAGAAATATATAACGTTTAATCAATAGTATAATTTCAATGTTCAACTGAAATTATCATTTTTCTTACAAATTTGATAATAATTTCAAAAAAAGGTTAACAAATAAATGTCGTAAATTATTGGTGACATTATTTGAGTGAGATGAATACGATGTATTGGCAAAAATATTAGGTGATAGGAAAAAAATCTAGAACGTAATATTATTTTACAGTATTCGAAATAAACCAAAAACAAAAATAACAATCGAGTATACTATACTGCCATACAGTAGCCAAGGGTAGTTGAATGATTTAAGGGATGTATAATACTATCTTGCAATATTCAAAATGCAATAGTCAAAAATAGATTAAACGAATGTAGCACAATCCTACAGTATTCATAAAGTACACGGTACGCTACAGTACGAGGAAGAATATGAATGGAATGATTGCATAACCCTGTATATACATAATAGTATTGTCAAAATAAGAGAAAAAAATGAAAATTAAAAGATCTAGGAAAGACGACATATTATATTATTCAGTAGTGATCGAAAATTTTTAAACAGAAACATTTTAATTAATCATATTCACCATTATCTTAATTAAAAAGAAACATTATAATTAATTTTAGATTTATAAATAAAAATAAAATAAAGAATGTCGTCTTCCGTTTCCTTTTATTTTTTCATATGATTATCTCGATTGATAGAAAAAGGAAAAAGTGATCGAAAAACGGAACTCGCTGTACAAAATGTTATCCATCATAAATTATCATTTTGAAATTGTATTTCATTCGATCATCCAACCGGTTCCGATCCA